GCTATTATTTCATGAAATCTACTGTGTTTTACCTTGATTCAACAACTTCGTTACTCACATTTAAAGCTTTTCTTTAGCCAAAGTTTTTCTAAATAATCTAATTTTATAAGTACAACAGTACTGACCTGAAAACAATTACTCCAACAAAGCCCTATAGCATTGGCCATTTTCTTCTGGGAGGAAATGCTAGGAATGGTTGTGAATAGTAGGAGGCAGTTGGAGACTGCAGAGGAGGGTGGGGGACACACAGGGATGGGATGCATGATGTGTCATGAAGTGTTGTTAATTGTTTCTTAGTGCATGATGTCAATATGCCTAGTACCGGAGATCCAAGTACTAGGAGTACAGTCTTCTGCAGGGGATCCGCTATTCATCTTCCCATATATACTCTGTCCAGTTCTACTCTGAAGACTGACTAGACAATTGGGAAAGCTGAAAAGAGATATGCTTATATAGTAATACGACAAAATTCCTTTGTACCATCTATTTAGATTTCTCTTTTCCACTCATATAGTAAGTGTAGAGTAAGGCATCATGTTTCCTCAAATCATTAACCTTGAAGTTTACCCTATACCTCCACCACACAGGATAGTTTTAGCAAGATAAAAAAGAGGTCATTAGGTTCCCACATCTAGTACAGCAAGTGATTTTATAACTGTATAGTGTATATTTTATGGGAGAGGCCAAAAATGACATATTGCACTATCAGTGAGAAGAATCCATGTACTGGCACATATGTGAGTACAGTACCATAGCAATCATATATGGTAGGAACTGAGGGATTTGTGTAAATAGATAGCTTCCAGATTATACGTGGGTGTAAGCATAAGTTATTGGAATACTTGTAACCACCTCTCTGATCACTTCTTTCCTTATATTGTAGTGAATACCTGATTGGCTACTCCAGGAAAACCCATAGCAATAATTGATTGAATTGTCTGTTTTCCAATCACTGTCTTCCACACACTCGTACCATATCATGCAGTATAAGTCTGGTAACCTTTTTTAAGAATGTAAAGGCTGTACCAAGGGGAAGTAGCTTTCTCAACAAAAGCTAGGCCTACACTGGAATACTGTTAGATAGTGGCCTACAGGGCATGGGGTTATGAAGGGTTGCGGTCATAAAGGGTTGCGGTTATGCAGGTTTAGGAATATGTAGTTAGAAGACGGAATGATACAAGGTATCTGTCTTTGTGGTTTCCTACATTACTGCACATAACAGAGGCTTTGTTCTTCGTATTCTCCACCGGTTGGCATAGGCTATTGGTTTTATGATTTCTTTAGTTCCCTAAGTATATGAAAGTTTGCGCATTGGCATTGTTGAGGTTGAGGTTCCATGGATCGTGATGCATCATAGAGAGTTCTCAATTGCAGGAAATTTCCTTTTGTCAGCCTCAAATGTTTCTTTAGAGTTTGATTAGCATTACACATATTAAATTATTGTATCGATGGAGATATATATCTCCGAGTTTGTTCTTAGCTAGTATAGGCAGAAGAGAGTTAGAGAGTCAATCGATCCTTCATCCCCATACTTGTTTCAGACTCAGAGTCTTTCGTGGTCCAATTCTAGTTCGCTCCTTCATCCATGCTTTTGTTAGTCATGAACAATCACCTCGTATAATATATTTTTATAATAGTATCATATTACTTTAGAGACTCCTGACATGCGGGATTATTTTATTAGAAAAGCAGAGTAAAATTATATAAATTATTGTATGATAGAATTATACACCATATGATAATATTATCATACTGATGTATTGTGTAGAAATAGGTATTGCCCTAAGTAATAACATGTGACTACAACAAGGACTGCCCAGAATTTTGTATATATAGAAGTCCATCTCACCTCCTAGAAAGCAAAGTTTTCTAACCTTTTCAACCTGTATCAGACCTCCTTGCTCCACACCTCCACACCTTTTCTCTATCCCTCTTATCAACTCTACCATAACTGTCTGATTTTTCTCCTCTAATGGTATATGCCACCCTTTTTCTCTCTTTATTTTCAATATTCTAACAGAGTTTTTATTAGCAGCTCAACTACAAAATATACCTTCTTACACTATTCCTTATGTCTTCCTATCTCTCTCATGAGGTTTACTACAACTTCTCAAGCTCCCTAAACCAAACAGTAATTACCACACTAATTCTCTATTGATTTTCAAAGTTCTAACAGTTTTCAAGTTACCAATTCTATGCCAACTATATCACCTTACTAAATTAAGAGGAAATCCCGCATTCTTTTTGTCTCTACCAAATGAGATAATCTTGGAAATTTCAAGCTATCTGTCCATTTCAGATCTAAACTCTCTTTTTAAGACCAACTGTCAACTTACAAACCTCCTCCAACATGTTTTGATTAATAAGCTATTTCTTACTTGAAACATTAAGTTTGGTAGAAAAGCTCTCTATATCTTTGCCTCACAACATAATAGCAAGAGTTTGCAAGCTTTCCTTGATCTTCGAATTCTCTCATTTTGTGGTCCCACCGGGTGTATCCTCAACGAAGCAATCCTGAGAAACAATGAGGAAGCATCGCGTATACTATTGGACTGCGGTATAAGTGCAAATGCTCCAGATGAGAGGGGAAATCCCCCTTTAATCCAGGCTATAGTTTTAAAGAGACCTAAAATGGTACAGCTTTTACTCTCCAAAGAGGAGTATAGTGTTGATGTTAACACCACTCTCAGTTTTTATGGTACACCATTAAAGGCAGCAACATACTATGGAGTCATAGAAGTTGTTAGAATACTATTAAAGCATCCCAAAATTGATATGAACCGTATCAGCCACAGTATTACATTCTCTGTTCTCCATCAAGCAATCTACGAAAATAATACCGACATTTTAACCCTTCTACTTGCTGATCCTAGAATTAACGTTAACCTTGCAAATGGTCATAATAGGCCAACACAACTCACTTATGCTCTGGGTAAACAAAATGTAAAAATTGTTCGACTGCTCTTACAGCACCCTAGACCTAATGTCAATGCCTCTATGCGAGATCATTTTTGGAATCTTCAAGTACAGTGGGTTGCAGCGAGGAATGATATTACCATGCTATGGACTTTATTGCAGGATGGGAGGATACGTCTTAATCATGTAAACTAATACTACTTTGTACCATCTCATATGGACGAATACTCAGGTGAAGATGTTGCAAGTGTTTTATTTTGCAATGGTAGGACAAGGTTGCGATTCATAGACCAGGGGAGGAGGGGAGGAAATCTTTGACCGGTGAACGAGGCTCCTGTAGTCTAAAAAAAAAAAAAAAAAAAGGAAAGCTCGTAGGGGGGTGTATTTAGATTTCTACTCATAGGGTACGATACATGCAATAAAAACTCCACTCAATCAAATCATCACTCGCACTTGTCGTGATATCGCTTCTCCAACACAAAAAGCCATCATTCAGTCTAATACGCCCAAGTGACCGAATTGAAGATTCCTAATTTCTTTTTTTTTCCCCTCCTTCCTCCCCTCCCCTGTCCCACAGTCAACACCCCCGCACACCCACAAGGCAAATCAAGGGATAATCTCGTCCACACCACGAACAGTCAAATACCACCCATCATGTTACCACTTCCTTCACCGAAGCCTCTCTTCGAGTACTTGAGGAAAAAGAAAGAAACAGCCGTAACCGTCGCTATGGATTTTTACAACACCACGCCCATCTCACCCAGAGTTGACAATGCAGAGGACACGCTAGTCGAATACCCGTGATGGGGGGGGGGGGTTTCATCATCCGCCATCGCAGCCAGGAACCAACACGGGCCATTCGGGACATCGAGTGACAGTGGATGACGTAAAACTCGCCCTGTATAAACGGGATGGGGCATCGAATGGATGAAAACGAGGTAGGCGCTTTCCGTCGGGCAGGGCCGCGAGCAAAACTTTCAAGAGTAGGGGTATATATATCTTGATGAAGAGGTAGGCGGGCAAAAAAGTACTTTTTCCACCATCCGAGAGGGTGACTCCGCGGGCTAGCGCGGAAGTTCTTTCTCGGGAGTACCGTAGGGATGGATGGTTAGCAGGAAAGGAGCAGATGGATAGCGCACGAACTGTACGAGTACTGCGCAGTAAGATATAAAGCTGGTAGCTTGTTGTAACAAAAAAAAAAGTCACCGGTAGTGTAAGCTTAGGCCTAGCAGCGGCAAAGACAAATTGACGTGTTTTTCTGTCAGCTAGAAATTAATTCGATTTGAGTCACAGTTTCCCATACAAAAGCGCCAAGACCTAATGTCACCATTTTTGCTCTTTGGCATGAGATATTTATTTGTGAGAGTCAAAGCCCAAGGAATTCCCTCGGGTATGCAGTAAATTTTGGGACTCGTGGATGGAATAGGAAGTGGTGCTACAATGACTACATTGGGTGTTAAAAGGCACCCCTATCATAATTATTGGCGATACCGACGGACCGGGCACAACATGAAAGGGAGAGGGGAGGGAGTCGTCATACCCGGAGGCAACCATCGATTATGGTACGATATGCTCTGGTCGGATTGGTTGCATTTTCCAAGCCAAATATTCAATGCTGGCACCTGACGCGGGAGAGGCACACTCCACCTGAAACTTGCATAAACTTGCATGGCAACGCACTCGAAGGTTGACTTATCCACATGCACTCCAAGAATGTTTGAACCAGAACGCCGGACGAGTCCCGCTGGCAGCAGCTCTTCCTCCTCTTCCTCCTCCTCCTCCTCTTCCTCGCTTCGGCCAACCATCCCAAAAATTGATAATCACTCACGAGCATTGCTAACGATACACGCATAACATCATAGGTGCATGATTCACCTGTTTACGAAGGGAGGGAGGGGGGTAAAATTTTCTTACCACCTGTATGTATTGTACTACCGGTACTCCCTCTTCTCCCTCCCTAACCTTTTCCCTCGCAAGCCGTCCGGAGAGAGGAAATTAGGAGAGAGAGCAAGTGGAGAGGAAGAGAGAAAGGAGAAAAGGGGAGAATGTGTGAGATTGAGAGAACGAGAGAACGAGAAAGAAGACTGGCAAAACGCTCATTTTAACCATTTAATGCTACGTAAAAGCAAAAAACTAGACGACAAATCACAAGACTTTCTTTTTCCCCCCCTTCTTCTTTCTCCTCCTCAAAACCAGGGTTTTATCCCAAGACGTTGGTATGCGAATCGAAACTCAACGGAAAAGCTGGCGGGTAAGGTAGCCTTCCCGTCCGTAGTCGAGGTGACGTTTCGCAGGGTTTGTGATGGGTGGTTCCCCCGGGTGGGGATCTTGCGTGCTGGGGCTATCCCTGCTATTAATTTATTTTTCTTCTTCAAGACCGAATGGAAAGCATGAAACGCATGGCCTCCTACCTGAATCGAATTGGCTTTCAACCCGCAAAAGAATTTGCGTTTATCGCCAAAAAAAAAAAAATTTGAAAGACAATTCCCCCGAAACGGGTAGCCCACAGCACACACTCGAGCCCAACTTCCCAATCCGCAAGAGGACATCTATCGTAGGTTGCGCCCGCACTAAGATAGACCCCTATGACTTGCGGAGGCTTGAAAGGGTTGGGAGAATTGAGGAGGAGAAGAGATGAAAAGTTAAGGAAAAGGGGGTCAAAATAGAAACGAGAATTCCATGAGAGTCGAGGACTCGTGGTCTCAGTTAAGGAGCGAGATGCGTAATAAGATGGATTTCGTGGGTAGGCGGGCGAGGAAGGGAAGGGAGAAAAGGGAAACCCCCGAAAGCATTCGAGGGGGTCTTTATACACTCCGCTGGAGAGGCGCTGGAGATGGCCAAATGGCAATAATTGTCGTCTCTAATCTTCCCTCTATCACAGCATCATCACATCAGGTCTCCTCCACCCATCAACCTTACCCCCCCTTACCCACTTACCAACCCACATGCGGCGGCAAAGCGGGAAGCAAGGGATCGAAAGAAAACAATTCTTCAGAGGAAAAAGAAACCATAGACGACTTACCATACTGCTAAGTCACCTTCCCTGTTTTTCCCTTCTTTTCTTTTCTTTTACTTCCTTCCTCGAGGGCAGGATATTCCTTACCCAAAATTGTGGAGTGTTGTACCATACGGTAGTACCTGGGGGCTGAGATACGACAGCTTCATCCATCCACTCATCAATCCGCCCCATCCATCCATCGATCCATCAATTCCTCCCCGCTAGCTTGCTTGCTTGTTAATGCCGCCGCTCTGCATGTTCGAGTACCACGACCTCCGCATGCACCAACCATGTCTCTCTTCCGCCCCCCAAGGAGAAAAAAGAAAACATGGGAAAAGTGAAAAGAAGAATCGAAGAAAAAAGAAACACCGTGAAAGACAGCAGATACGTTTCCACACTTGAGCAGACGGAGCATCTCGAGCTGAGTTAACTAAGCAAGAGGTTATGCCATGCACGCCTGCGAGCATCCGCCGATATGACACCCGTGGTCGTACAGTGTACGGTACGGGGATGGGGAGTCAAGGATGGACTGCAGGTGCGAGTTGGAAATGGGAAAAAAGGAAAGAAACGATGTTAAACCAAGAATGGAACCCAAAAGAAAAAAAAACATAAAAACCGATACCGTACCGCCCCGTTTTGCTGTACCGTATCCTTACACCTCGTAATCCGGCGAAATTCTGTCGACACACACATTCTCTCTGCTACCGCCGTCTGAGAAACACTCAGGCAGTGCCCCCGCTCCATCCCATCGAAACCCCTCCTAGCTTGTCACGAATTGGAGCGGGGAAACGTTGGCTAGTGCTGTTACGCAGAGTTATCCCAATCGCAATGTAATGCGGCCAGTAGTGGGGGGAGGAGGATATTGTGGGGGGAGGAAGGGAAGGGAAGGGATAGAGTGAGTGAGTGAGGGAGTGGGTGGGTGGATGGGTTTGCATGGAAGGACAGGTGGGAAGTCGACTAGGGAGGTGCAGAGGAGGTGTGAAGGGAGTGAGGGAGAGGGGGAACGGCCGGCCGGCCACCTGCATAAGTCTCGAAAGGGAAGTAGGGTGCTGCCGGGAAACGAAAAAAAATCTTGTAATAGTGATGTTACAAGTACTCGTACCGTACAGCGATAGTATTATGATGAAAGCGAATGTGGGAAAACAAGCTTCCAAGGGAACCCTGGACCGGTCCGCAGCTATGTGCAGCCAATCTACCCGCTCCCATGAAAATTCTACAGTTGGCATCTCGATATGGAGCGCCCACTGAGAGCCTTTGCCGTGCACCTGCGATAATGGACAAATAGTAATACTATATATGAAATTTCAATAATGACCCATCACAACTTTCGCTCTTCACCTTGTTTTATCTATCATTTTCCTTCCCTTCTCCCCCAATCAATCCCGAATCATCCTTCGCCCCGATTTTGTTTTTCCTCGCCTACGGGAAGTTCCGATGAATTGGTACATCTGTGAAAACTGTCGCCATCTTGGCTTCATGTGCGGACATTTTTGAGCTGCCAATAATTCCTAAACATTTGCTGGCACCATCAGGGAGTAGAATACAGTCATTGATCAGGTCATAGCCCATCACTCGCGCAAAAATCCTGCTCGGCCTCATTGATGAACACGAATAAAACAGATCCACCCCAACCATTTTGCAAAAGAAATGTGAGCGTGTCAGCCAAGACGTTACCCTGGAACCCGCGAGAAGCTCCCTAAGCAGACGCACGGCGAGTGACATGAAACATCCGAGCCCCACCGACACATCCAGCAACGCCATTTGGTCATTTATCCGCATCCCAAATCCACGCAATCTGGTCTCCTCAGTGGCCATTAATCAACCCATTAGCCAATCCATTTCCCGGACCGGGCCCCCACCCCATCCCACCGTCATTACCCCCCTCTCCTTCCGCTGTCCAATCGGTCACGCCACCCCTGAAGTCCGCAACTCTGGCCCAGCCAATCCGGACCACCACAACTCTAACCTCCTCACCCTCCAAATAACATTTATTCTCGCTTTGGGGGTTGTTCTCCAAGTGCACGCGTTTGTAATACTCCTCATCCTCGGTACCATGGGGGATCAGGTGTGCATACCCGTTCAGAGTTGCAGAGATACTGCTCAAAGCGGCAGAGTTGAGATTGGTGAGGAATGTAGAGAGTGGTGACGCAGACTGTGTTTGATGCGGAGGAGAAGCGGAGGGAGCAAAGGGGTTTGCAGATGAGAGGGATGGACGGTGGGACACCCAGTCATGCACTAATAACGAGACGCGCGGATTGGAAGTTAGATTGAGAGTCTTTTTGGTCGATGGCTGGGTGGTCATGATAATGATGGGCCCGGGTGTTGGAGATGGTGACGATATGGAAGTGGCGGGAAGCGGATACGGGCTGACTGGCAGGTAGGTGTAATTCATGAGAGAAACCTGTTCAAATAAATCAATCGCTGTAGGGTAATAAATATAAAACAAGAGCTATTATCCTTACATGAGGCCAGAGACCATTGGAGGTCGCCAAATGGAGCTATTTGAAATATGCAGTTAGATAGGCCTGCAACAAGCAAGCAAACAATGGAGGAATAAACTTACATATCTAGCATTCTTCAAACAGGCGATAACTTCCGGTGGAAGCTCACTGGAGGTCGAACTGGTAGACATTGCGATAATTTGGAGAAGGTGGAAAAAATAAAAAATAGGGATGGTGGATTGCGGTTGAGGGTAGTGGAGACGCCCTAGACGGCCGATGGGGGTTCATGGGAGAATTACGATAAGGCCCGACGATCGAAAGACCCCGCTAACTAATCGATAGTCAGGCTTGGCGTCCACGACACATTAACCCTACACCCTGCACCCTCATTCATCTATCACAACACAACACAAAGTCTCCCCGAGGTTTCAAACCATAGAGCACCGCTGTGAGATATCATACATAATATTATTATTATTATGATACTGGTATCTTTCTCGCGTTGGTGCGCTTCGAAATTTGATTCTTTTTCCTTTTGAAAAGCAGACTGCTTTTCACGGGATGTCTCCAAACTCAGATCTTGCTCTGGTTTTGTTTTACCCGAGTATGATACAGTACAAGTAGTTTGGCCCACATTGCCGCGATAGAGCTCTACCGAGCAGAGTAATTCGAAACAGCCCCCAAAGTACCGATAATATCACGCATGGCGGTAGTGTCAGCCCTGGATGCACTGGCTTGGATCTCGCGTCTAAGACAGTGGCATAACTCACAGCTATGCGTATCTCCTTTCTTCTTCCCACAAACCAGGGACCCTTCCGCAGGTAAAGGCACCGGCACCCTATACTAGTATAAGCTCCCAAGGTGTATGATACTCTGTCTCTGAGAATGTCACCCGAGTACCGGTATGATGCCCGCGGCCCGGAGCGCCAGGGCGACGGCTTTTCTTCACCAATGAGACCCCCGTCCCAGCGAAATACATGAAATTCTTTGAGAATTCCAGCCAATAATGGATCTTCTGCACATCTACGGGGTAATAAGTGGCGTAATGCTATCAAATGCCGAAAAAAAGAAAGAAAAAAAGGTAACGGAAGTACCGAGCGGCCCACCAAGCACAGATAACCCACCATACAAAGTACAGCGCACGATTCTGAGCCCATCACAACTCTTACACGAAGTATCAAAATGGCACAATTCTATCATAGCAAAGTAATTACTTGTAATCTCAACTTAATACCCCCTCCGGATTGACCCATACAAATCTAGACCCGGGGTGTTGTCAAGGTTTATATCAGTGAATTGCAATGGGTTTATTATCTTGTCATACTGATGGCCGGCAGATGAAAAGTCAACATTTATGATACACCGGCTTGGTTCTCCACCAAGTTCGGTGGTGCGCATATGGTTCTGAAGTGCTGGGGGCAACTGAAGGGATGGCTGTGAATATGATTTACTCCTGATAGCAACTCGTGCAGGTGAAGCAGGTGAAAGTAATATAGCGCCAAAATTCGCGGTTTCTATCATTTGTTGTCCCCTACTGCCACTCTATGAAGCACGGCCGAGTTCTGGCATTTTTGCATCATTCCCCTAAAAGCAATCCCTGTCGTCCGGGCCGACAGATCTCGCCGCTCAATCTCCCGGTCAAGTCTTCAGCTTGGCCCAACATAAAAACAGGGTGATACAAGTATCATAGCCCGCGTTAGAAAAACATCTACCGGTACCCTCGACAACGGTAGTACCGGCAGTAGAACACCCTATCGCACTACGACCCCTCGTACCGCCATGCAGATGATACACGACGGGGCTGCGGCAAGTGGTCCAAAAAAACCCCGGATGCTCCGCGGCACACGGAGGAAACCCTCGCTTCGGTAATTGAACTGCCTCCACCCGTTCATGTCCCAAAAAGTGGCGGCTCAGCGTAGAACGCACCGCCGATATCGAAGAGGTCTCAACACGGTGATTCCAGATTCAACGGGGCTTCGCCAATAGCCACTCAGTCGGGAAAAACACTGGCATCGAATTCCATGTTGTGCAACTCTCCGAACTCCCTCTGACCAAGCGTTTTTCTAGCTCCCCATGAGTCAAAATCGCGGCGAACCCGAAGAGGACATCGGCAACTAGGCACGCTATCACTCGAACCCCACCGTGACTGAAGTGCTGTAAGCTCAAGAAATTCTTAAACAGGCAACAAGTAAAATTTGTCCAGACGGCGGAACATGCACGCAAGCACTTTAGGGATGTGCTTGCGCAGTGCTGGCACACCTCCGAGCTCTTATGAAAAGCGGGTATCTCCCATCGACTCCAAATGCAAGCCACGGCCCCAAGACCCGCCCCATTCTAAGCCCACAGGGTAACCCGTTGGGTGGAAATGTGAGAGCGGGACAGAATCCAGGCACCCATGGTTTTATTACTAGTTAGAGCAACTTGCATGAGGTGTGTTAGCTAGAGCAGGTAAGCGTAGAATAGTAGAGGGCGGTATACAAAGAGAAACGATACCGTAAAATGGAAGAATAACAATGCTCGAGTACATTTCTAGGGAGTCCGATTGTCAGTCTTGGGTTCCCTTTGATAAGGAAAGTCACGGATGATCACTCGTAGGTTGAGCCACATTGGAATACCCGTATCATAAGGTATCGGGGCTCAAACATAGCACTGGTATCATGCGGCACTGTAAAAGGGTGTCCAGGAGTGGCAACACTAGCAAGGTAGGCCTTGTCCCACAGTTCAACTCGAGCTTTGGCCAATCAGACACACTATATGTGGCGTCAGCCACACGCCCGTTGCTATCCCAATCCGACACACATCAACCCAACCGTGCAAGCCATGCTAACTATGATAAGTTACGGGTTGAGCTAATCCCATCGTCCAGCCTCTCTTGTCTCTCATCCCCAACTCCTAGAAGAAACAAAATGTCAGACCACCTCGACCAGCTCTACCTCACTTATCTTGACACAGTTGACACCTACCAAACTCTTCGCGCCTCCCTCGCAACACAATTTTCCAAAGGGTTTCTTACCCTCGCGCAAGCGAGCTATCATTCCACGAGTGGGGGTCGGAGATACGGGACAGACTTCTATGATGAGCGTATGACAGCCATAAGAGGTGTGGGGGTGGAAGGTGGAGGAGTGTTTGAATGTAAACTCCTTGAGTTTGAGAAGGAGGAGGAGGAGCAGAAGGAAAGGGCCCGGGATACCGATCGGGAAGGCTCGGAGATGGATACCCTCGAAAAGCCGAAGGAACAGACACCAACTATAGACCCTCGGGACCCCATCCGCTGGTTTGGAATTCTGGTCCCGCCCGCTCTTCGTCAAGCTCAGTCAGAATTCACATTATCAGTGCAGACAATCATCCCGCAGCTCACGACAACTATAACGAAATTAGCTCTGCTCTCCTCAGAGATAGAGTCGCACCGAAATCACGTCGGCACCAAATATCTGTACAAGATATTAACCGCAGCTCCCCCGTCCCCACTTCCGGAAGCGGTTGAGTTACCACCCCTAGATATTTCCCACGGTTTCATCCATCTCTGCACAGCAACCCAAGCCGTGGGAGTCGTTGAGAGGTTCATGGCGGATTCGGAAGAAGTTTGGCTGCTGAAAATTCCGTACAGCAAGGTTGAAAAGGATACAAAGTGGGAAAGCGTTTCACAAGGAGGGGAAAGGGGAGAGGAGTTTCCACACATGTTCATGGAAAAGCTCGGATCGGGTCAAGTTGAGGAGGTGCGACAAGTCATGAGATTGGAAGAAAAGGGGTGGCGAGAATCTCTTGAGGGGGTGGAGTGGCTAGAGTGAGTGATTAGCTACTATTAGATGGTACGGGGTCGTTACCCGTACTGTACCCGTACGCTCACTCAACTAAGAATGAAATACCCAATAAGGGTCATTGAGATGACGACAGCAGCTCAAATTCTCCAACGATCCGCTGACACGTTCGTTCGTTCCCCACCCTGTACCTTTGCACGAGGTGGAAATCAATGCTCATGGCCGTTGCTATCACTGCCCCACTCAAAATTGATGGGATGCCGCCAAAAAAAAAGGCTGGCGGGGGACAGAATGCCCTGCTTGACTGACACAGTGCCCGTCGGCAGGCTGTAGGGAGGTCCTAAAGGATGTTGGGTAGCCACCTTGGCCCATAGATGAAATATCTCTAGACAAAACAATGAGCCTTCTTCTTTCCGACCCTGGATTATCGGGGGGTTTTCAGCAAAACCTCTCCATTTTTCATTCAAGTGGCGTGCCCGCCTTGTCGACGACACCATGACCAGATGATGGAGTTTGTCATAACCAGGCCAAAACGACAATCGGCGAAGCATTGGTCAGGTCTATATTTCCCCTCACCTCACCCGTTGTATAGGGAGCTCACCGAGGCCTCAAACTCGATATAAATAAGTAGAAAGAAAAAAACCCACGCTATACCAGCCCATACAGTCCCCCACCCTCATCCTCACATAAAACTATGATACAATTCTCGGCACTTGATTGGTTGCGACCAGACTCAAGATTAATACAACTTGTAGTAGTCCAATCACTATATCATACTTTCCCGACGTCTCGCCAATAATAATGATATTAGGAAGGGTTCTCCTGAATTAACAGAAAATTGACCACGAACCACAGGTATCTTATGACAATACAAGTACTGTACTCGTACTGTACATAAGTGTCTCGGTTTATCAAGTTAATCCGACAATCCCAGAAACACGTACGTGCCCTCTTATTTTTCACGGCTGTTATGAAAGGTCCTTCCTTGCCTAACTTGATCGGTTACGGTACTGCCAGTACTCGTACAATACCGACTTTGTTCAAAAAAAAAAAAAAAAAATACAATCGCCCGACAATAAAACCGTGACCGTGCCAAACAGATTTTCCCCCTTTCCCACCCAAAAATGCCTTTAAGATATCACAAGTTCACAGGTTTGTTCTGATACAAGAACCGGTTGGTTGCATCCTACCCAAGTTAGAATAAAGTCCCAAAGCGCCGACAAAAGCAATACATTCAAATATGATGCAATGTTCCCAGATACCATAGTACTGTACTGTCACTCCAGCGCTAAAACCAAGCAGCACTCCCCCTCCCGGGCATGCAAGAAAGGTGGGCAGAAAAGGAAAATAGCACCAGTAAATACCAAAATGAAGGTATCTACCATCTTGATAAATATGTTTAATTTCTCCTCAACCCGGCTTCATCAGGGTAATAGGGTTTACCGAATACCGGTAACCTTAAACTGGTTTTAAAGTTTTTAGAAGATATGGCTCAAGCATACTGACTCCAGGAGTGAAAATCAACTCACTCCACAGGGAGCATAACCGAAGGTGAGGCGATACCAGCAACGTATCGCCAAGCATTCCAGTTCCTGGGAACAAGTCATAGTCTCGGTCTTTGAGTAAAGATAAAGTATGAGCTAATACCCAGGTGCTTTTTACTTCCCAAAACTGATTCGGCAAGTGTGTCACTATGGGAGGAGGTGATTCAGCAGTAGTAGAATCCCAGCCATGGTATTTTTGCCCCATGGTGAGGCCCTCCATAAGCCTATGAAGCTCAAAGTTTCATCTTGTGGAGTAGGATTGTGAGGGTTCATCCGTTAGTTTACCACATAGTCACCTTCCCAACTAGGAAGGTGAAAAGCGGAGTAAGGAAAATACAGGCTCCGGTCAAAAAAAAAATTGGGAATTGACGAATGAGCTTCTGGGGTTTTCATTGGAGAATTCAGTGTGCTCGAGCCAATTGAGAGGCCGTGTTCCTAAGAACTAGACCGTGGGAACCCTCAGCGAGGCGCGGAATGGCTTGGCTTGCTACCCTAGTTAAAATCAAGGAGCTTTTGCAGCCAAGTCTCACCGCGCTTCACTGAGGGTGTCGCTTCACTGAGGGTTCCCACGGTCTAATTTCCACATTCCCGTTTTTTTTTTTCTTTTCGACCAGAGCCTGTAGACGAGAGGGAGCTTGCTATCAAAAATGCATTTCAATCAATTATAAAATATCTCTCTAAAGGCCTTCGGAGAAAAAAACTCTATATTATTCTCCTTAGCGTTCCAAACAATCGGCACGAACTCATAAAAGTGGGTATCTTTCCAAGAAGAAAAATACCATCGTACACTTGAATAGCAATGATGTAGACTCAACAAAATAAACCTCCTGACCCATAGTAGACACTCACCGAAACGCCTGCTGGGACGCTGAGCTATTAAAAGCCCGGTTAGTGTTGCCCCAAACATTGTATTCGCTTGTTCTTGTTTTGGTGGGCATCGTATCAGATTTCACTTTTTTCCAAGAAAAGCACAAAAACCCATGATATTGAGAAGAAGAGGCAAGGGACAGCGCCCCACTAAGGGCACAATTGAGACACAATGTATATACGGAAATACCATGTATGACCGGACACCTCATGCCCAAGGTAACCTTTTGGGAGCACCAGAATGTCCCAAAACCTATAAAAATCCACCACTGATACGCAACCGAAAATTCGAAGAGCAACGCACACCACCTAACTTCATCCAACTAAATAGATGAAAACAAAGCTAGAGCAACACCACTCCCCGGACCGACAGCCCACTTTCCCGAATATGCCCCAATTCACAGCCAGAAAAACAAACCTGATCAAGCTAAGGTAATTAAAATTCAGCAAGCCCCCAAGAAAGAGTGAGAGTTAAAAGATACTAAGAAACCCTTTCATAGCGACAAACATAAGGTGTCACTCGCCCCCAGCTGCAAGTAACCCTAATCCTCTTTTGCTTATGACAGCAAGCCCAAGAACCATTGACTTAGTCCTCCTCTCCTTCTCCATTCTCATCACCGGTATCGCCAACCAGCCCACAGCTCTGGAAAATTCCCAAGATCCATCCCCACAACCTGCCTATGACTGAAGATAGTCTCGTCCCAAGACCCACGACATTCTCAACCTGAGCTAGAGAGCCAGACTCGAGATCTCCAGGCTTCAAAGGCACAGCACCAGCTATGTCCAGCTGAAAACCGTCAAGTTCGGGGTCAAAGGGAACAGGAGCGGAGAGGAGAGGAGTTTGCTCCGTCAAAACGCCCTGCGGTGCGTCAGGTCCCTCCAACCAAATGCCTTCGTAGAAGAATGGGCTCACATCCGAGTTCGAGGAGCATGTTGAATCGGCATAGGACATCGAGATATGTGTGGGGCCTATCACGGGAGTATAAATTGCTGGGGTGTTGGCAATTTCTTCATCAGTCAATGGATGACCGGAGTAGTAAGCCATGGTCGAGGACCCTGCAGCCGGATTGGAAGACATGACAAAGTAACACGAGTTCGAGATTGGTATGTTTGTGGAGGAAATTCCGAATGTCTGGTACAGAACCAGGGAGGGCAGCCCGTTGGGGAAATATAATTTGCACGAAACAAAATATAAATGAGAAGGGTGAGGGGGAAATTGTGAATGTTTGTGTGGACCGCGGGGTATTTCTGAGATGTTTCTCAAAAAAACCGGAATGGATGGGTAGAGACGAGGCTCGGAGGTATGACAGCTTAAAAGTTCAGAGAGAAGATGCAAAAAGTGATGGATTATTCCAGATGACGCGGAATACCAAGCCTTCTCATTTTTTTTTGTCTCTATCATGCCACCCCGCCCTATGCCTTATATATACGGTTTTCCAGGCCATACCGTCTTTCACTTGCACCCTTCAAAAAGACATCTCAGAAGTGTGTACACCTCCGTCCCTCACTACTTTCACTACTTTTTCTCTACAGAGTCCGACAGCGAAGCCTTATCCTCCGATGCATTCATGCTCCCGAAACATGATATTCACCGAATGTCTAAGTGTGCAGTACTTCTCCCCATCCCCAGTCTAGGTTTAATCAAAAGAAAGGATGAATGCATTCTTACCAGCCACAGCAAGAAATAGAAGGAAAAAAAAAGAAGAGACTTCCCACCTATGATACTTATGAGAATTTAAGTGCCATTGCATTTAAGACCGGTTCCCAGCAGCGAAGGCCGAGTCCGTTATACATCCTGGCATCCTCCAACGCATGATCACAAGATCCGAGACCCACTCTTATGCGGAGACACTTCACACATTTCTCCCCTTTTTCATCTGTTGTTGTGGATACCAAACAGCGGTTACACTCTCGATCACAAAATATCACGAATCACTCCTGCCTACCGTCCTGTAGGGCAGCGGAGATGCACAGGCTCTAGGAAAAAGAAAGAAAAAATTAGCAAACAAACATACTCGAACAACTCATTACTGGGCTCATACTGTACAGTGCATATCAGATCCCCCCAACATTGATTTAAGGGTGCGGGTACCCGTGAGCTGTGAGGTGAGGGAAAGTCGGAATGCAGTATCAACGCCCTCCAGGGCACGTAACTTATCTGAAAAAGAACTCAATGCGGTCTTCCTGCGTTGCAACAGTATTTCCGCCATCATGCTCGTCGACAAACTAGCGGCTCGAGGAATACCGTGTCATGTCATAGTGGCCCATGGCACAATGCAGTGGTGGTTGGTAGTTGGAGCCGTATTTCGGCAACTTGCTTGGAATGAAATGTCTCGCGAGCACGTACCACCTACTTTCATTGGAACGTCTGCCGCACGTACTAACCGTCGCTAGGCAAGACAAGCCCTACAAGCAATTGGCCATGCCGCCAATGGTACTGGTGCTTGAATACCGGTAGGCTAATTAGTTGCAAAATCACAGACCCACGGCTACCAACCATACCTAGGCCTACCCCCGCACTCGCAGACTACAGAAGGGAGATTCTGGCTTGTTGGAAAGCGGTGATGATTCGTTAGGATACACCAAACAAGATACCATAGGTGGCAATATGTAACGCTTCAATTCGCTTTTGAAGCGGTGCAGAATGCCTTCCGAGTCTGAACCCATCCCGTACCTGACACCAGTACCCTATTCTGCACTAAACCTCCCATCGCATTGACAGAGAAGGAAAGATAATCCACCCACTGACTATTGAAGAGAAAGGTAAACCGAGAAAGAAAGAAAAGAAAAAAGCCTGCCGATGTCTTCGAAATGGGAAGACGAGAAATAATAATATAAAATGCAGAATGGGAGAAATCCCGACCAACCAATACATCAAACATTATACAGTAGAAAAGACCTGACAACCCTTTCTCCGATAGTCTATCTACAGTTTCTTTTTTCCCATGATTGTTCGGATTGCGGTTGATACAAAAATGTGATAAAAGGAAGTGAGAAGGTAAATGACAGAAGATTGTGAAAAGGAAAAATAATAACCCGGCCGCGAAAAAGAATGAGTGGAGAAGCACCGAGGGGCTTCGATTCATAATTTGAAAGCATTAATCAAGCAAATAACGTTCTGATGCAGCCCTCAAGAATAGAGCGCTTTTTCGAGCCTGCGTTTGAAGTTCTATTGCCACCACTCCCATCACTGCTATTACCAGTTGTATTTGGTGTAATGCCTCCAACCATATCACCGTTAGCCATCTTGATGCTACGATTGTCGAAGTTCACCGTAATATTACCCCCAACTGCTAAGCTCCCAAAATCGATCCCGCCCGAAAACGCTACTTGTAGCCGATACTGCGCATTCTCGGCAACTGAGAGATTCCCCGCGTTGGTCAGATACAGGACAGTAACTCTAGCAAAGTCCACCGCATCCGGATCAACTACAGCCGTCCTTGTTTCTGAGCTGCCACCCGAGGAGCTGGTCGCACTTGGAACAGTACCGCTGGTAGTTGGCGTGGGTGATGTGTCGAGGGTCAAATCCTGCCTCATCCGCAGAAGAGGCAGTGATTCGCCAATAGTAGACCTTTTCCCATTTGTCGAAGGCATGGATTCGCCGTCGAACTGAACCAGGGCATTCTGCGCTGTGCAAGAGATATCTTCATTACTGAAGACCGCAAGGATCATTGCACGATCCAATTTAATATTATATGATGGCTCGGCTAATTCAAAAAGGCGAGGCAATGCGTTTCCCATCGTGACATTCTGGATGCCCTTAACCAGGCCGCCCTGCAGGTCCTGGAGGTCAACCGTAGTGCAGCTAGAATCCTCCTTCTGTGTGCAATTGGCACCGGTGAACCCCGAGGTGCAGACACACCCGCAGAAATCCCTTGTTGCAATGTTTTCACCCCCGTTTTGGCAAGGGATTTCGCTCTTGCATTCTGCAAGAACAGAATTCCCAGAGTCATCACCACCACCGCCCTTATCCCCCTTCGAAAGCTTGACCAGTTGGAGGGGAACAATAACAGCTGCCGATATGACAAGGAGAGCGAGAATTACGAGCAATACGAAAGCCCAGAGAGGTAACCCGCAAACCCTCCGACCTTGCTCACGCGACGGTCCAACCGGAGAATTGTTCTCGCTGTTAAAATCACCTGGCAATGGCCACTGCGACATTGTGGTACCTCGCCTGCCTTGCCTACTAGAAGCAAGAACCGGGGGTGGGAACGAAGCCAAAATATCAGATATCGAATCTGTCTCCCTTCCATTGCTACGGCCTGAGTTAATTGGTTAGTCCCAAACAAAAAAGGGGTTAAACCAAAAAAAAAAAAAAAAAAAAAAAAAAAAAAAAGCTATAAAACATACTAGGCGATTTATCCATGTAACTCCTCCGCATACCCCATCTTGAATCCGGCCTTCCCGTCTCAAGTACGGCTGCAAGTTTTGTAGCCCTCCTGATCAGATCAGGCAAGCTTGTTAAGCTCCCCCTCGCTTCCGCATCACGGACGGCATCCATATTAAGTCTTGGAGGGAGCCGCCGTCCAGGTTTCGCGGTTTCTGCAGGAAATTGCTTAGGCGCAGGTAAGCCTTCCGAGTCTGGTGAATCCATGGAGACGCCGTTAGAGTGACCAAGACTGCTCGGGAATGGAAACCCAGAACTCTCATTATAATCCTCTTTGGTAAATGCGGCTGAGGGCTGAGCAAGTGGGGATGAACTGGCTGATCTCAACGAAACGGGAGACTGGCCAAGAGCAATGCCCGGAAATTGTGACGAAGAATCTGCACTTGGCAACTTTAGAGTTGGAGAGTTTTTTTCGGCTGGCGAGCTAAGCCCGATTCCAACACCTCCGGATACTCCAGCCCCCGAGCTTGCGGTTTTCATCGATTCATCCGATGACTTGCCTCCACCTATTCCCTTGATTTCTGTGATGGTTGGTTTTGACTTCCGCCCTAAACTCGCTTGTCTAACTAAACCTCTTTCATCATCCTCGGCATCCCCTGCCGTGGGGAGTCTAAATTCTTCGGGTTCCCCATCGTCAAAAAAATCTTCCTCCCCACGTGGATAAAGCTCCACGGGTTCAGCGCTCCAACTAGGGGGTATAGCAGCGCTTGAGGCGTATGAGCCGTGCCGATCCGAGAGGGGTTCCTCTGGGATCGGAGAAACCATGAGTGTCTGTTGCGAGTAGTAGGATGAGGTGCCGCGACGGGCAGTTGGCGGGGGGCCGCTGCTAGATCTTCGCTGTTGGTTTGGGACAGTGGGGATAGGTGGGGGGATGGTGGGAAAACTCGGTATTACTCCAAGGGAGTTGGCTGCGCTTGGGGTGGTGGCTTGCGAATTTGTGGGGTCAAAGCCGATATATATAGATCGTGAGCTGGACAAGGAAGGGCGATTGGTGGGCGCTGCAGGGTTCCCTACATCTTCCGAGAAATGTGGTGCTCTAGGCTGCGATCTGATTGGCTGTTGATTAGGACGATGCGAAAAGCTGGGATTCAGTTCTCGTTCCTGAATGTAGGATGGGTCAAGCATCGAAGGAACATAGTTTGATCTAGCAGGCCGTGGTGGAGGACTGCGGCTCTCATTGTTACCGTTGCCGTCATTCCTCAGCACTCTTAGCGCTTGCGACAACTGCTGTGGCCTCCCATTACCACCGCCGTCTTGCCGAGAAGACATTGGTGACTTGGGAAGTTGGGGTCTCTGGGGCGGCGGTTGTGCTATTTTCGGCGGCGATCGATAATCCAAATTCATCGCTAATGCTCCGCCGGCCCCGTATCCCACGCCTATCGGGGAATCCTGGTAATCGCTATCCTCATCTTCCTCCTGTCTTCTATAACGATAATCCCCATTCCTACTCGTCCCCCTCATGGCAGGCCTCCTGTGCTGACTCATTTACAGAGATCCGGATCTCTCAAACGACCCAGCCGAAGAAATCTTATGATAGCTCTCTGGTGACAGCTAAGGTCTTGTCTTTCCCACTCCCTCAAGTCAGGGTGTGTCCGTATCCCCTTTGATGCAGTAAGCGGGGCTACAGGTCGTTTCCCAATGTAGCTTATCACATATACTGATGGCCTCTTTTTTCGGTAATTGTATGACCGAGTCAGTGTATTTAACCGCTCAGCGGTCGGTATTGGTGCGGTAAGGTGCGGACTACCGAGAGCAGACGTGTCTTCAAACAAACTGATGCTGAGCTCTACAGTGCCTGTCACGGGGGCAAAATCAGAACGCGCGGTGCGGAATTATATAAAGCGCCCGACAATATCGGTTCGGTTAACGGATCCTAACGAACGGCTTGAGGAAAAGTCAATATAGACAAAAGTGGAAGAAGGGAAATCCGGCGTTAGGACCAAGAAAAAGTATAAGGGTGAAAAATGGGATTGAAAAGCGAGTGATTCGGGTGCTGCTGCTGGCCTTTCCTGAGGGTCGAGAGTCTTCCGTCAAAGTTCTCGAAACAAAAGTTTCCAGTCGTGGTAGGAAGCAGATATGGCCGTCTCTCCAAACAAAAGCATTACTTCTCACGGGTCAGGTTGTCACTAAAGCCCGAAGTCCTATCCGAGCTCAAGTCAACACGACAGTTTTGAGGACAGTCTCGTTGGCCGCGAATGTCGAATGTGCCTGGTACTGCCCGATGAACCCCAAATCCTACACCAAAACGAGTGACTATAATGAGCGAACGTTCCTCAAAGGGAGACTGTGGTGGGAAAGGGAGAGGAAACAAGAAACGGAGAATCACTGACCGAAGAGACTCAATCTCTCTCTGTGAGCACCAAAACATCAGCTCATCCGTAGCAATCAAAAGGTATCCCTTAGATCCAGTAAAGGCTAAAGCATGGAGAGCGTACTCGTACAGAACTGGTACAGTAGTAGGCTAGGGGGTTAATATCAAATGATTGCTTTTTGCCGCAGGCCTGCACCGTATATTGAGGGAGTGAAAGGAAGCACGGGTTTCCCGGCTGCCGTACCGTACTCGAATACCGCACTCAGCCTTTTTTTCGTGAGAGCAGTTGTGTGTGCCGCACAGCTAAACGAATGGCGGCGGGTGATTGCGAGTGTGAAGATGCTTCTTCTTTGTGGATGAGAACGTCGGCCTGTCTAATTACCGGTACAGCTGCCAATTGAGCAGACCGCTCCCCCCTCCCCGAAACACTTCAACAGTCAGCAGTTTGGAGCCCGTATACGAGTGAGTACCTTTCTAGAGGAGCCGAGAAAATTGAGAAGGAAGCATGTGAGGAGAATATGAACTTCAATCAGTCACGGAAGCTGTAGATTTTGGTAGATAGATAGATGTTTCCTTGGGCAACCTTCCCCCGGAGGATGCCTTTTTGGTGAAAAGCACCCCCGATTCCACGTTTTCATGACGGTTCACAAGTTCTGTGAGAGCGGATGATGCCAGGGGCGCAGGACAATGACCCCTGTGTGGTGTTACAGAGAGATGGAAAATTGAAACCCTCCCCTGCATTTCTCCCCAACTCAGGAGCGACTAGCTACAAGCGAGCCAAACCTAGAGCACTCGGAAACCAAACTCGTGACAAAATATCGGCAACTCCCCGCACCCACGAAATGTTCTACTCAAGGGAGAAAACTTTCCATAGGTCAAGGCCATCGCGTACCTCTGAATCCGCTGCTCTGGAGGTTACGGTAATGGACGGCACTCGAGTCTTGGCTGCTACAGTACAAGTAGCACTGATAGGGTTAGTGGGTCAAAGATGGGCCACACAAGACACAATAGGGTAGACTAACTTTATCATTGCATCCACCATATCTGAGATGTTCTCTAAGCACAATGTTATCGTACCGGTACGGGTACACATACTCACCCCGTGCTTGTGCTCATACTGTACTGTACGTATCGGCAGTGAAGAGTGCAGGTGGCTCAACCACGGTTCGATCCAATTTATTGTCAACCACGGGCACCACATGGTAGGACTTCCTAAAAAGTTGTGAGAAAACTCGCCGGGCAGAAGTCTGCGAATCCCCTTCCGAACCCTTCGTTTAATGAATGAGCACTTGGCAAGCCACTGAACTCGAGAGTTCACAGTATACCTGATCCTCCTTGGCGAAACTTTCGGCACGACTCCCCGGTGAAAGCCACTGCCGGTACGCAAACAAGCTCTGAAAAAAAAACCCTCCGCAACCTTTAGAGAAGTTCTGCACGGCACCCGAACACACACAATTTCTTGCCAGGTTCAAGTGATACGAAGAGGTACAAGTACAAGCACAGCACACACAAGTACGGTACTCGAGTACTCGAGTACTATACCTGCAACAGCGACTGGGGCTTTTTAGCCGCATGCAGCACAAGTACCGGTAACTCACTCCTTTTCACAATGCTCACAATATCGGTAATGTGCCAAAGTGCCTGCAATTACTGTACTCGTACTCGAGTAGTTGCCCGGGTAATGCGAGGACTACAGTACTGTACTGTACTGTACTGATACGGCAATCTGATCCACGGTGCTCATGAGGGTGCCACCGGTAATCAGGGGCTAAGAGTAAATCTCTCCCAGCCTTAATTAATTAATACGATATGATTAAGGAAGTCGTGAACCCCCATACCGGTGGCATGGTAAACTATTCTCATAACGTCACACATTACACAATGGTCAGTACTGTACCTGAACACGCTAATGGTACTGGCACAAGTACTGTACTTGTACAGTACTCGTACAGTACGTGTGCTGTTTATTCCTAGTTTCTGTATCCTTGCGAAACTTTGGGGCGCCTCGCAGCACCGGGTAAGCACCGGGTGGGTGAGGCGAGAATAGGATACTGGCATTCGTATCTGGTATCACAGTCCCCGAGAGAGATTTCGAAGCACAAGCACCAGCCAAAGTTAGTCTCGCTTTCTTTTTGCTAGCCAACGTGTTTGATAAACTGTACGGTTATGACGCCGGGTGGAGGGCGGAAACCCTCCAGTGGGAGACGGTACCGGTATGGCGTAGTAGAGTACAAGTACTGTACCAGACTGCCAGCAGCCAGTACTGATGCCAGTATCATACGCTACCGTATTTCAGTTTGCAAAGGGGGAGAAGCCCCAGATTGTGACCACCATTAAGGAGCGCATACTATAATCGCGGCGTGACCTATGTGTTAAATACTTGTACTGCAGCCCACTCGAGCAAGTTACCGGAATACTCCTCGAGTGGCTATAGTAAACTGTCGTACCGGTAGGCATAAACTCTGCTGAGGGAGAGGGAGGGCCAGATGATAAAAGTGTGGGGAATACCTAAAAATTCAACGCACCTATAAGCCTCTATGCTCGGGTACCGGTATTTGTCCAGATGCCAGTGGGGTCCGTGGGAGAAGGAATATCTGGCAACCGAGTAAGCCCTGGCAATCATGTATGGAATTAGTTAGTCTCATAGCCATCAGGTTCCAGAAGCCTAATGATATATAATAATAATCTGCTGGGGGGGGGGGGGGTTGATTGAATGGGTGCCAGCAGATAACATGGGATGGCCCGTGATAATTGTACTAGTATCATACAAGTATCATATCATAGGCGTGATATTGCGACATCCAGGATAGGGCAGACCAACCACGAACCCTGTGACTATGATATAATATCGTAGCTCAGCTCGAGAAGGGTACTGTACCGGTATTAAATTGCGGTTGCTGCTCCACCGATAGAGTGATATCTGTTGGGAGGTTAAACTCCTATTTCCATACCAAGCCGCTAAGTTACTGGCTGTCAAAAAATTATGACCTTCCCATATCAGCCCGTGCAATCCTGCGAGTTGGGGGAAAGGTTTGCTGACAAGTCTTTTTTCCCGTGCACAACTTACCGAGTATATTTGTGCAATCGCAAGTAACCGTGCCCCCCCACGAAGCCAAATGCAGGGGGGGTAGGAAAAAAACCGATTTACCATTTAAGGCTTAGTATCTTAATGTCAGAATAGGCCCATCTACTTCCGGACCAAGTAAATCTTTTACACGCACGCTTATTATTATTTATCCCTTGGGTCCGTCACATCGTCCAAGAGATCGGCGGAATGGGGTCTCAGTTTGAAACCCAATGTAATTTATTGCCGGTTAAGGAGGGATGCTTTCCGGATCCCGTTACCGGTATCTTTTCTTAAAGTGATCAGCACCTGATGGATGTGTGGCACAGCCTTTGTCTTCTTGGACTGGTACTGTACTATAAATAGTACCGGTCAGTTTGAAGGTGTTTGCGTCGAAAAAGTGTGAAAGCGATAACCGATGCTTTCTGGGTCCGACATGGCGTACCCTACTGTAGGTGGTGTTTGAGGAAGATATATCGATATCCCTGGGCCGGGTGAGCAAAGGGCTTTCCTCACGAAAGGAGGATAAAGTCAAACTTGTGCATTGTCCGATTCTTTTTTTCCAGGAATCTACCGTCCTCTAAGTGGAATTCAACAACTGAGACAGCATTAGTCGCCATGGTTTAGCTCCCATGGATAAGTACGGTACAGTCTATGGTGGCGTAAGTGTTGAAATATCTCTCTTTCTCCATTTTTGAGCCACAATTTACGCTTCTCCACACTAACCATGTATCATATTATCATACAAAT